TAACATCACAGTTATTTTGGGCCTTTATATATATATAATATTTTTTAAAAATTAGGCCCTTATATGTAATTATTTTTTAATTTAGGCCCATATTTGTAATTATGTTCACTTTCCGGGCCCTTATTTGTAAATTCCCCCCAAAAGCTATATGTATTATGAGTTGGAGCCAAACAAGACCATGCATTTAGATGTTTTTCATAGTATTTAGGAGATCTGACTGTATATAAAAATTTTATTGGTTAATGTTAATCAAAATTAATAAGAAAAACTCGTGTATATACTATGAATCAAAAAAAGAAAAAAAAAACAACCGAACCAAAAACGAAAAATACAAAGAAATAAATGTGTTTAAACCTATTCTAGAATACTAATAACACTAATTAATAACTAATTAAAAATAATCAGAAACAATTTTTAGTGCTCGCTCCAATATCAAACTGATCTTTAATTTTATTTAATAATCGTTATACAGTTACAATACCACTCTTCGCCATAACTCTTCTTATGAAATTTATAATCTTATGACTTTCAACATCATATTATTAGCCTATATTATAGTCAAGTTTCCAAATTAGTTGGGATTACGAAAAATAAAACAAAAGACAGCTTAAATTGCCGAGTTTAATTGATTTACTAAACATAACTTCATCTAACTTCCGAACTACTTCATGGATTACCGAATTACTTTGACAGTTTATATGCTTTAAGATTTTTTTGGTATCAAGTTTTGCCAATTCGTATCTTGGCTGCCAATTCATTTTTGCAATGCGAAACGTTACATTAATATGTAAGAATTTACGAAGAGAATTTCTATTTGTACACTTAATGTGTATATATACGGATATTGTTATTTCTCAAAATTTTTATTAATAAAGCTACTTTAGGGTTCTAACAAAAAAGATTTCTTGCAAAATTTTGTATAAACTATGCCTTTTTTTAACCTTTAAAACTAACAACATCCTAATATTAAACAGGGTTAAGGGTGTGAATGTAGATCATTTTTTATATGATCTACGTGGTATATTGGATTTTTACATAGTAAATAAAAAAATACTTCTGATAAAACTTTTTAACATCTTAATTAATATGTATCAAATTCATACTAGGCAAATGGAAACCATTTTAAGTCCGGAGGAAAAACCAGAATATAATAATTGTTTTGATCTGATCAACCAATCAAAATTCAGGATTTGCGCGCACACACACAGACATCAATGATATGCAGTTTAAAACAGTTTGTTTATGATAGTGAAGTTGCGCAATATGCATTGCTTTAAAAAATTTTAACTTCACATATAATCAAAGTTTACCCAGGTCGCTATATGTTTTTTCCAGGTGGTACAAAAGAATTGCTAATTTGTTTGGTCGAATTATATGGTGTTTACATGATATATAATATTGGTTACACAATATTGATATACAATATACATGTGACCGAAATGCTTGAACTTTCGAACTCAATATCGATTTCAATTTCAATTAATTTTTGATTTATTATTATATTTTTCGAAATCGAAATTTTGATCGAAAGTTAAAAATTTAAATTATATAATTACGAAATAAATCTATCATTATTACAAAATAAAAATCTTTTTTTTTTAATTCTCTAATAATGACATGCGCTTTTCACAGTGAAATTTTATAGAATTCTCTAATAATTACGCTTTTCACAGTGAAATTTTATAGAATTCTCTAATAATTATGCTTTTCACAGTGAAATTTTATAGAATGCTCTAATAATTACGTTTTTTATAGTGAAGCTTTATAGAATTCTTTAATTAATTAATTCGCAATAAATTCATGACTTCATTATTGTAATTAATTAAAATTTTTAATAAATTATAAAAAATTTAAATTTTTTACTGTATTTTATAAACCTAATCGCTTGGCTAATCAAATGTTAGTTCTATACCAATAAACAATGTTGTCTAATAAAGATTCTTTAAATACAAGCAAAAAAGTATGTGGTCGTCCTCCTGACAAAATATGGGACAAATTTACTAAAGGAGATGAAATTTATAAAGGATATTATACTGTGACATGTAATTATTGTTCTGAAACATGGTCTTCTGGCAGACCTAAAGATCTTAAAAAACATCTCGCATATGAGTATCAAAATATTGATTCTGAAACCAGGATTGAAACTTTAACTTTATTAACACATGGTTTAGACTCTGATGATAAAATGTCAATCGCTAAATCTAAGAAAAAACGAAGATTACCAAGCAATATAGATAAACCTTGTGAAAACATCCCTACTTCCTTAGACAAAGCAGAACAGATTAATAAAGCATTAGTAAAATTAGTTTCTTGTTGCAATATACCATTTGCTCTTGTTGAACATCTATTTTTTCATGATTTCATTAAAATTTTGCGGTCTACTTATTCTCTTCCAAGCCGTTGGATTTTATCTAATACACTTTTTGATCAGAAGCTTGCTAGAATTAACTTAAAAGTTAAACGAATTATTAGTAAAGAAATTAATCTTACCATTACATTTGATGGCTGGACGGGTTCTACTAAACAATCTGTTTATGATTATTGTATAATTACTAAAGAGCGTAAAGAATATCTTTGGTGCTCTAAAAATTATTCTAGTATTTCTCATCATACGGGCATTTTTCTTGGAAATGAACTTGTTGAAATTGTTGAAAAAATTGGACCTGAAAAATTAGCTGCTGTAGTATTTGATAATGGATCAAACGTTCGTGTGCTCGAGAGATTCTTTGCAAAAAATATCTACATATTTTGAATCTTTGGTGTATACCACATTGTATTAATTTAATTATTGAAGATTTATACAAATATAAATATGTTGTAGAAATGATTCGTAAAATAGGTGTTCTTCATAAATACTTTACAAAATCTCATGTGGCATGTCAGTTTTTAGATGATGCAATTAAAATTTTGCAAATTAAAGGAGGAACTTTAAAAAGCTAACAAAAACTCGGTGGTCCACAATGTGGGATTGTTTTGATTCAATTGTAAGACTTGAATTTGCTTTTATAAGAGTATGTATATTAATAAATTAATAAATAATAAAAAACATAAATCAAATCTATTAATATATTTTTTTTACTTATCATTATATAGATTCTCTCAGAACATGGAAATGATCTTTCAAATCATATTAAA